GGTCGATCATCTCGCCCTGAGAACCAGAACCCACCCCTGAGCCACCCGTCCCCAGGGGACACCCACCGGCGTCCAGGATGGTGGGGCGGGGGCGGGGCTCGACCAGTTCTAGGTGGTTCGACAGCGTCTTGGTGGCCTCAGGAGCTTTTGATGGCATCTAGATAAGCCAGTGAGGCCTAACGGTGGCTTTTCGTGGGTTCTAGATGACCCTTGGTGGGCTCAAGAGCTTTTGATGGTGGCCAGGTGAGCCAATGAACGCTAAAATATGGATTTCGGTGGGTTCTAGGTGACCCAACGGTCTCTTGGTGGGCTTGAGAGCTTTTGATCATGGGTTCTAGATGACCCCACGGGCTCTAGAAGTTTCTGGGTGATCCAATGATCCCTCAAATTTTGTTCTTAGTGGGAAGGAGGGATCCGTGGGATCTGGTACCTGGCTGGGGACTTGGTCCAAGCCCTCCCTGCCGTACCTGGCTCTCCACCAGCATCGCCATGTCCACGAACATGTCGTGCAGCTCCCGGATGCTCGTTTCCAGCTTGATGATCTCGTTGTGTCGCGTCTCGATCTCGTTCAGGGCCTGTTTGGTCATCTGCGAGTCCATTTTGATCTGGCAGGAGAGAGAGGAGACAGGTGGGAGCGTAGGGTGGAGCTCCTTGGGCTCAAGATGGTCCAATGGGACTCTGGGTACCCCAGGAGGTCATAGGCCACCCCACGGTTTCTAGGTCACGCAACGATTGGGGGCATCTCGTTGGGTTCTAGGTGACCTAACGGGTTCCGGGTGACCCAACAGGGCACCAGGTACCTCAAAAAGCCCCAAGGGTTCCAGAGAACCTGCTGGTTCCTCAGCGATGCAGCTGTTTGGGGCATCTCATTGGCCCCCGCTGAGGGCTCGTTGGATTCGAGGTGCCCCACTGGGAGACGGGGGCCTCCAGGGTCTCTCGACCGTGGGGCAGAGAGGCCTCACGTACGTCATCCGTGAAGATGGCCAACTTCCCGCTCTCCAGCATGTCCTCCAGCTCTTCGTTGGTGGTGGTCCGGCCGGCTGCGGAGAGCGAGGAGGTGACGGTGGGTGACACCTCGCCGACCCCGGGGTCTTCTCTGTCCCATCCCACCCCGTTTCCCGCGACCTACTGATCTCCAGCTGCCTCTGGATCCTGTCCTTGCACCGGTCGCGGTACTTGGACTGGGTGGCGTTGTACTCCGTCATCACCTCCACGAACTTGCGGGACAGCGTCGAGTGCTGGGGACACGGGGAGGACGCGGCGTGGGCGAGGGACCTCACGCCGGTGGCCACCGAGGAGGAGGAGGAGGAGGAGGAGGAAGAGGCCTACTGATCTCCAGCTGCCTCTGGATCCTGTCCTTGCACCGGTCGCGGTACTTGGACTGGGTGGCGTTGTACTCCGTCATCACCTCCACGAACTTGCGGGACAGCGTCGAGTGCTGGGGACACGGGGAGGACGCGGCGTGGGCGAGGGACCTCACGCCGGTGGCCACCGAGGAGGAGGAGGAGGAGGAGGAGGAAGAGGGATACCTGCGTTTTCCGGATCGCTCGATGGCTGCAGGAGAGGACAACGTGACACCTTCCTCCATCACTGACCTCCCCCAAGGGGGTCGCTACCACCCAGCTGCCACACCAAGATGGTGGCCACAGAGTTGGGCAACCAAGATGGCAGTCCTGGACAAGCTGACCCACCCCAAGGTGGCCACCTTCCCCACAAGATGACCTCCCCAAGATGGCCACAGCGAGGTCACCTTTCAACTTGGAGCGCACTTTGTTGGCCGTCTTCTTGATGTCGGCCGTGAGGTCCTCCAGCTCCTGCTTCGTCTCTGTGGGAGTGGGGACATCTCAACCCCCTGGCGTCACCCCCATGGTGTCACCTCCCAGTTCCTGGTGTTCCCACCATGGTGTCCTTCTCGGGGTTCTCCATCCCCAACATTCCCCCCTCCATGTCCTCCATGGTGTTCCTGGTGTCCCTCTACGTCACGTGTCCCCGTGGTGTCCCTGGTTCCTGGTGTCCCTCCATCCCAGATGTCCCCGTGGTGTCCCTGGTTCCTGGTGTCCCTCCATCCCAGATGTCCCCATGGTGTCCCTGGTTCCTGGTGTCCCTCCATCCCAGATGTCCCCATGGTGTCCCTGGTTCCAGGTGTCCCTCCATCCCAGATGTCCCCATGGTGTCCCTCCATCCCAGATGTCCCCATGGTGTCCCTGGTTCCAGGTGTCCCTCCATCCCAGATGTCCCCATGGTGTCCCTCCATCCCAGATGTCCCCATGGTGTCCCTGGTTCCTGGTGTCCCTCCATCCCAGATGTCCCCATGGTGTCCCTGGTTCCTGGTGTCCCTCCATCCCAGATGTCCCCATGGTGTCCCTCCATCCCAGATGTCCCTCCATCCCCCCCCGTGTCCCCGCTCACTTTCGTCGGGGTTGGGGGCGGCCAGGATGGCGCTGTGCTGCTTCTTCACCTGCTCCACGTCCTCCGACAGCTTCTCGATGCAGCCCCGGATCTCCTCCACCTGCCAGGAGGGGGGACACGGGGGTCACGG